ACTCCCAGAGATCCAATACCTTCTTTTGGCCTCTTGAGGGTACCCCCACACACATGGCATACACTCACACATACATACATAGATACATACACACACCTAAAAACAATAAATCTTTATATATGCGTAAAGACACAGAGTACTAATGTAGCATGCACAAATCTCTGCTATTCCCAGTGAAGGAACCGGCTTCCCTTTTGGCAGCCATAACAGCCGAACACGTGCTTGCCATAAACCTGCCTTGGTCACTTAGAGGTCAGATGCCTGTCTCGTGACAAGGAACCTTAGTCACTAAAAGGTCAGATGCCTGTCTTGTGACAAGGAACCAATCAGAAGTTAGCTGGTGGCGCTATGCTTTACGACCCTGGGTGTGCTTTACGGACAAGCGCACGACAATGACGTAGAGAGCATAGCAACCACCCTGGGAGGGCCTATGAGCCATAACAACCAGTTGACCAATCAACACAGGGCAAGCCCTCCAAGCCTGGAGGCACACCAATCGTAAGCCTGTGCGTACCCCTAGACACTCCCCTTACGCTGCCCTATAAGATCTTTGGGGAGACCTTAGGAGCCGTCTTCTCTAGCTGTCCGCCATGGTGGGTGGTTGAAAGACCCGAGCTAACATGGGGTTAGCTCGTTAAATTACAATAAAGCCTCGTGCAGTTTGCAGCAAGCTCTCGAATCCGCCTGGTGATTGGGGTGACCGCGAACCTGGCCTGAGACCCCGGATACTTGAGTTTTCGGGGGTCTAACACCAGCACTGCAAGTGGGAAGGAGGAAGGGAAAGAGAAAGATGGGAGGAAGCGAAGTGGAGGAGAGGGGAAAGAAGGGAGCATGAGAGGGGCGGGGGTTATATATACAAAATACTAAAACGAAGTAAGGATAAAAATTTTACCAGTCCGTAAGTCAGTGTTGTCATTCTGGGGAAGAAAGGGCTCAGGACTAGAAAGAGGTACAAGTGTGCTAGGAATTACCTGTTTCTGGTCTGAGACAGGCAGCTATATTTAGTGAAAATTCATCAAATGGTATGATCATTACATGTAAATTTTTAAATCTATCACATTTCCCCCAAAGTTTTTTTTTTTTTTTTTTAACTATTTACTTTTATTTTCTGTGTACGGGTATTTTGCCTGATGTATGCAGGGCCAGCAGAAGCCAGAAGAGGACATCCAATCTCCTAACTAGAGGTGTTAGCCACTGGGTGCTGGGACTTGAATCCTGGTCTTCTAGGAAAGCACAAGTACGTTTTAACCACTAAACCATCTCTCCAGCCCATTAATTTTTTAACCAGTTACTTATTTTATGTTATGCATGATTGTTTGCCTGTATGTATGTATGTGCACCATGTGCTTCCCTGGTGCCCTCGGAGGCCAGATGAGGGTCAGATCCCCATAACAGGAGTTGCAGGCAGTTGTGAGCTGCCATGTTGGTTCTAAGAACTAAACCTGGGTCTTCTGCAAGAGCAGTAAGTGCTCTTAACCACTGAGCCATTTCTCCAGCCCTCCATCTCAAGTATTTTTTAAGATGGTTTTACCTCTAGGAATAAAGATATGAGAAAGATTTTAAAATTCTTTCAATTTAAAGCAGTAAAATACTACTATAACAAGTCAAAAGGCAAACTTAGGACACTAGGCCCAGGAAAGTCCTGAAAGTAAACCCAACCTACTGTGGGGCCATAGAAATGGCTCCACTTCAGAGAGTTTTTGCCTGTCCTTACTCTTCCAAGATGGAATAACAGGATGTCTGGCCTAAAATGGGAATGCAACAGGATGACTGGCATAGGATGTGGTCTCTGCATATCCTGCATGAACAATAGAATACTTAACTCAGGAGACAGTTACTTGATGTTTGGGGTATTGAGAAGATAATTACGCTTGCTTGTTCTTTGTATCTTGGTAAAGAAGTCTATAGCTTCCTCCCCCTCTTTGGATGGAAGTTTAAGATGACTGTACACAATAAACATGGGTGGTTCAGTATTCCCTGGATGCCCTCTCTTGTCACCTGTCTATTTCTTTTCGTAATCCACCCCCTCAAGTACAAAAATGGGCAACCTACTACTGTCCTCATTTTGAACACCAGATCTCCTATCTAGTTTTTATTTGTTTTTGTTTTTTGGAGACAGGGTTTTACTGTGTAGCCCCGGCTGTTCTGGAACTCACTCTGTAGACGAGGCAGGGCTCAAACTCAGAGATCCTCCTGCCTCTGCCTCCAAGTGTTGGGATAAAAACTGTACACCATCACACCTGGCTTAGATCTCCTATCTTTTTAAAGTACCTAATTGGAGAGCTATCCAACTCAAATAAGACTCACAATTTGTAAAGATGACTGCTAATACTGTCAAATTGACAGGATCTAGAATCTCAGAGACAAGGTTCTGGTTATGTCTATGAAGAACTGTCCAGATAAGGTTAACTGGGGTACTCACCATAACCATGAGCAGCACCTCTGCGCTGGGGTCTCAGACTGCATAAAAAGTAGAAAGCTATGAGACTGCTAGCTGTCATCCCTCTCTACTTCATGACTGCAGCTGCAAGTTGACCAATTGCTTCAAGCTCTTGCTGCCTTGACTTCTCCACCACAAAAGACCGTACCTCAAATCATAAGCCAAAGTAAACTCTTCCTGGAGCTGGAAAATGCCTCAGTGATTAAGAGGGCTTGCCGCTCTTCCAGAGGAAAATAAGCACCTAGCACCTAGATGGCTCATAACTGCCCATAACTCTAGCTCCAGGAGACCCGACACTCTCTTATGGCCTCTACACATGGCAGAAGCACACGCACATACATACACATAAGAATAAAACTAATCTAATAAACTGTTGGAAGATTAAAAAAGAATAAAATTAATCTTTTTAAAAATAAATAAACCTTTCCTTCCTTAAGTTGCTTTTTGTCAGATATTCCGGACAAGTAACTATGACATGAGGTTAAGGCAAGAGGACTAATGTAAGTTTAGATCAGCTAGAGCTACACAGTACGAGGCCAGCCTGTGCTACATGAGTTTAGTTTATATGATTATGAATTAGCAGGATGTGACTACCAGTGAAACAAATCTACTGTTTTAAGACCAATGTAAAGTCGGGAATAGTGACTCACTCACATCTGTAACCCCTAGCACTGGAGGAGAACAGAAGAAACAGGTGAACATCCAGCTAGCTAGCCAGCAGTCTAGCCAATCAATGAGCTCATGGTTCTTTTTTTTTTTTTTTTTTTTGGTTTTTCGAGACAGGGTTTCTCTGTGGCTTTGGAGGCTGTCCTGGAACTAGCTCTTGTAGACCAGGCTGGTCTCAAACTCACAGAGATCCGCCTGCCTCTTCGCCACCAATGCCCGGCTTGAGCTCATGGTTCTATAGGAGACTGTTTTGGTGGAGAGCATTACACTGAGGATACGTGAAGGCAGGACATCCCTTTCAGTCTGAGGTAGATGTAAGATCTAGTGGTTTGGCTGCTTTGCTTCTCTGATTTTCAGCTTGAAGCTTAAACCCCAATATCAATCTCTGGGTTTTTATTTTTCAAGTTACAGACTGTTTCAAATAGAGGGTGGAGAGCCCTAGAAAAAAGGGCTTAACCTCTAACCACCATATGTGGTTCACAGACAATGGCATTCACATGTGCATATTCACATTAAAACAGAGAACCGGGAGCTGGAGAGATGGCTCAGAGGTTAAGAGCACTGACTGCTCTTCCAGAGGTCCTGAGTTCAATTCCCAGCAACTACATGGTGGCTCACAACCATCCGTAATGAAATCTGGTGCCCTCTTCTGGCGTACAGGCACACATGGAGGCAGAATGTTGTATACATAATAAATAGATAAATCTTTTAAAAAAATCAACCTATATGGCAATTTAAAAAATAAATAAATAAAACAGAAAACCATAACCCACAAATAAATTAGTTACTAGTCCTGTGAAGAGCTTCAAATGGCAGTCAATGAGGAACAATATTTTGTCGGGAGATGTAATGGCATGTGCCTTTAATTCTAGCACTTCGGAGGCAATCTCTGTGAGTTTGAAGCCAGCCTGGTCTACATAGTGAGACCATGTCTCAGGGAAAAAGAAGGGAGAAGAATGGAGGGGAGGGAGGGGTGGGGAGGGAGAAGGAAGAAAGAAAGGAAGGAACGAAGGAACGAAGGAAGGAAGGTAAGAAATTTTATCTGAAGAAGAGAACCACCATGTGTGGCAGCACACTCATGTAATCTAAGCATTCAGCGGGCTGAAACAAGAGCCTGAGATACACAGCAAAACCAGCAGACTAGAAGGGAGAGAGAAGGATAAAGGAAGGAGGACAAACAATGGATTGTATGTATCTTGACATATCTGAAATGAGAACATATTGTGAAAATACAGTTACCAGTTCAAAGAAAGAAATAACAAATAAAAATTGGTCAGGTGTGGTGGTGCATGCCTGTACTCCTAGCAACTGGCGGGAGGGGGTGGGGCTAAGGCATGAGGTTTACTGCAAATCTCACAGTCATTAAAGCCAGCCCGGAATACATAGAGCCTGTCTCAAAAACACACATTAAAAAGTTAGTTATTCAGCCTTTAATCCAAGCACTAAGGAGACAGAGGCAGGCAGATCTTTATGAGTTCAAGCCAACCTGGTCTACAGAGCAAGTTCCAGGACAGCTAGGGCTATTGCACAGAGAAATCCTGTCTCAAAATAAATAAAAAATATGTTATTATTAAAAGCCGGGGCCAGACGTTGGTGGCGCATGCCTTTAATCCCAGCACTCGGGAAGCAGAGGCAGGCGGATCTCTGTGAGTTCAAGGCCAGCCTGGTCTATAAGAACTAGCTCCAGGACAGCCTCCAAAGCCACAGAGAAACCCTGTCTTGAAAAACAAGCAAGCAAAACAAACAAACAAAAAATGTTATTCAAATAACTTTGTCTCTGAAACTATGAAACCTCTCAAAATGACTTCTCAAAAATGTATAAATACAAATTATTTTGCAAACCATTTCTAAGGGTTCATTAGCTTTCAATTAAAAGCAAGTATAAATTTTCTACCTTTTCTTTTTTGAGGTGTGCACCAGTGTGGAAAAGTTAGAGGATAACTTTCAGGAGCGAGTTCTCTCCATGCAACCTGTGGATCCCAGAGAAGGAGCTAAGGTCAGCAGTCTTGGTGGCAAACACCTTCACCCACTGAACTATTTTGCCAGCCCCAAGTTACATTTAATGGGCTTTAAAAGCCTTTAATCCTAGCACTTGGGAGGCAGAGGCAGGTGGATCTCTGTGAGTTCAAGGCCAGCCTGGTCTACAGATGGAGTAGACAGGCTCCAAGGCTACACAGAGAAACCCTGTCCCGAAATAAATAAATAAATAAATAACATTAAATTGAATCCTTACAAACTCCCAACCTGGTTTCTTCTGAGATCCATTATAACACATACTGCAGTTAGCCTACAAGATTACAAAAAGAATGCACATCCTATTTAAAGGTGGGGTTTTGTTATTGCTTTCTTGTTTTTCTGGTGCTGGGCATCCAACTAGGGTTTAGGTAATCACCCTACCACTGTAATATGGCCCAGCCCTTAAGCTGTATTGGGAGCTCATAACTCAGTTAAGAATGTTGGCTGAATGGGTAAAACTTGCATATGCCAAGGTCTACACATTCAAAGGGTGGAGGGGAGGGAATGATAGTCACAAAATATTAATATGAATAATTAAAGCTCAATTTCCTTTCTTAAGTAAGCAGCATGTAATTAAGGCAACTGAAGAGTTTAGTAAGTCTCGGGCCTTTCTTAACAAATTTAAGTGCTGCGTTCCTGAAACTGCAACCACATGCCAACACTGTGCTACAGACACCATGTCTGCCACAACACTAAGCTAGTTCCCGGCACAAGATGTTCTGAAACTAAGTCCATCCAGAGCCAGTACACAAGCGCGACAGAACCTGGGGTCTGGCCGTTGAATTTATCTCCCGATGCAATTTGAGAATGGACACTTCCATTAATTCTAGTAACAGGACAGTGGCGGAAAGCTTTAGCTAAATCGTTTACATTAACCAGTGAAGTGGAAAATGCAAAAAGATTAAGCTAACATTTTATATCCAACTTTGAATTCTGCCACACTGAAAAAAGGCCAAATAAATTAAACTGAGAAAACAGAAAACAAGTGAACCAGAAAAAAAAAAAATTACAAGCCAAATGACAAACAGCAGCTGGCCATGTAGAGAGGACAGAAAGTATGTGGGCTAAGGAGTTGAGATGGAAGGAGGAAGGCAAGTATTCAAAGACTCAAAGGCACTTTCAGGAACTACTATGTTAAAAGAATGAACCTGTTAGCCGTTTCTGGCTGTGGCATTTTCGGTGCTGCAGCGTTGGGAACCAAACCCAGGGTTTTAGGAATGCTAAGCAAACATTTTACCGCCGAGCCACAGCCTACCAGCCTAGTTAACTATTTCGACTGAAAAGGTGAAACAAAATGGGGTCCAGAGTCTCGCCTGGCATCCAGGGTAGTTACATTTAATAGAGGTGAGCTTTGTTTCAAGTGCATCCGCGAGATTAGACCTTTTCTCTATCGAAACACCCTCGCATAGGCAGATCTGGTTCACAGATGAATAAACCGAGCCCACACAAAGCACGGGAACACGGACGCGTGTCCACGCACTCCACTGTGCCATCTCTAGGCGGGAGCCCACCGACACTTTCCCACTGCACTGTGCACAGCAACCACCGGCCTTCCCGAATTCCTCCGAGAACTCGGGTGGAGAATGGAACCTCTATTGGAAAGGAAAAGTTACTTTGGGGAACCTGGGGGGGGGGGGTCTTCCAGGTTTTGGAACTCTGAGAAGCACCCGGCATAAACAGACAAGAGGCTGGTGGATCACGAAACGGGGAGGAAAAGTCAGCAGACCTAAGTGAGAAGCCAAAGTCAGCCAGCGAGCCAGCCCTTGCCCTTCTGATCCTGGAAGAGGGCG